TCAGCGATGATGTCTCTGAACTGCAGTATTGAATAATGCGCGTTCGATCCTTAGATGAGATATCAGTTTCCCCGAGGTTGCACATACACCAACAAGTACAAAATATTAAGTCCAGGGTTTCCTACCAAGAACCTACAAATAACTGACGTACTACATTCTGTTCACATGAAATAAAGTGATAGTCAGTCCACAAGTATATTCTACATCTGTTGTAGTCGTAAATAGCGTGATTTAATTTTTAAACAAAAAATCGGTAGTAATAAATAATGAGAAATGGATAAACACTAGATTCGAATTTTTTATATTAAGATATAATCAAACAAGTCTTTGGCATGTTGCCAAAATCACCTCTTCATTGTGTCTGTATGCCTATACACAATAAACACTGCGGTCACGTGGTAGAGGACAGTTCTGTTTCTCTCTCTCTCTCTCTCTCTCTCTCTCTCTCTCTCTATATATATATATATATATATATATATATATATATATATATATATGCACGCGCATGCAAACATTCGCGCACTCATTAAGTGTATCACTTCATTTGTCTTATGACCTGGTGGCCCAGTTTTAGTATGAATCTAAAGGGCCACCCTAGCCATGACGTCAAAGCCCAATATGGTTGGTTTATTTGGACTGAAAAGGTAGATTTTTATAAAATAAGGAAGTTTAATTGATTATTCGGTTGTTGTTGAAGTGACCTCTAGAGTCACTCCTGTTTTATCAGCATTATGGTGCTTCACTTGGCACTTACCTGTGTGAATGTATGTGTATTATGTATGCAATGTGGCGTTACGCCTACACATCTGTGAAATAATTATTAAAATATATTTGTGTGTACTTGCAATTTCCAAGTCTTGACTTTGCTGGACAAAATCAGTCACTGTAGGAATTAGGCAACGGATAGCAGCCAATGTAACTATGAAGCGGTGAGTACTTGTCACTGATCAAATTCTAACGGCACGAAGTGATGGAGGTTTGAAACCCCGAAATAACTTCTTCAAGATGCCAGAAACCCCTTATTGATAATTACTAACAACAGGCATGAAACTGAGATAAAACATGGCTTTTTGTCATCAGAACCCGAACATCTAACATCCTAAACGATTAGTCTACGTTATCTTGGAATATAGGTTTCTTGATCAGCAGATGCCACAATACTACTTTGAGTTTCTGTAGTACCTGTGACGAGAAAAATGAGAACTTGATGTAAGAGGAAAATTTGGGCAATATGGTAGAATGTAATTCTATACTAGATTTGTTTGATTTGTAATACACAATAGTACGGTATTATTTACCTAATGACGTTTCGAGCATAAATTATTGCTCATAGTCATGTCAATCATATCACATCGCATTTATGCCCAGAACGCCATCAATTAAATAATACAGCATCACTACTGTGTTATACATCAAATAAAAAAAACATAATATAAAATGATAGCCACAACCAATCAAATGCGAATGTTCTTCATGTGTCTATCTTTGCTCTCATTCTTTGACATTCTGATTGGAACGCCTGCCTTTTAAGGCCGTCTACACTACCCATATATTTTGCCAAATACAAATAATTGTGCACGGTGTGAGGTAGTAATCTAACTTCGTCTCCTCTCTGCATCAGCTGATCTGACGTTACTGGCTGTAGGATCAACTCGCACATAATAGTTTGGGAAATAATAATAGTTAGGACGAGCGTTGGGCATTTCCGTTAGTCTGTTAGTCATAGTACCTAATGGGAAACCCAAACGGAAGTTAAAATGAACAGTTGGTAAAACTGTCAACTCAACAATATAACAGTTTCGTTTTGGTGTTCTTGGCTTAGTAAAAGCTAATAATGGAATCTAGGCTGCGTGTTCCGTTTTATTTTCACGGAAATAAAATCAAAATGAAACTTACGGCAGTAAGTATCAGTCCATCCGATGGAGAAATCCATACTCCAACGGAGATCCGTCAATTCGACACATCATAGTTGATTACACGAACCTTAAAAACGAACACAGAGAACAAATGATACGCAGCGGTTGTAACTCATTGGCCAAGTAAATAATGCTTTGGGATGTGAAGTAATAGGTGCTGGATGAAAGTCTTAATAGGAAATCCAGACCACAGGAGCGCATATACATTCAATTGATGAGTCTTGTATTCTCCTGCTAACCATTTGATGCAAATAATACTTTTTATACTAATTAACTCTCGAAGCTTACATAGAACCGTTTGTGTTTGTTATGGTTCCTAAAGAAGTATTTTCATGATCAAATACAAGACATGCTTTAGAAGTGCAGGTAAGATACTTGTCAACGCTATGAATCTTTCGTGAATACAGGCTATTCGGACATGTTTTGTATGAGTTACTCACTGAAATAATGTATTGCATCATTTATGCTGATAACAGTAGTAAGGGGACAAATCTTCTGACTCGACTGAGAACTTAGCATAAGTAAAGGGTAAAAAACTAAAGCTGTCGAATATAGAATATCAACAATAACTGGTAAAGTAATCCTTTGTTACACTTTTAAAGTCTGTATTTTTGTATGTTGTGTAGATCTAATCTGGAAGATGGTTAGATGCAACCCGAGTATAGTGTGGCATCAGTCACTGAAGTCTTAGACTTTGAGTCGTAACCTTTTTCTGGAAGTGTAGACTTTTACGTTGATGTTCATGATGCCGAAAATCGATCACAATAGCATCTTATCTTCATCTTAACCGTGATCTCATGTCTCGTCAGATGTTTTGACCTTTTTCTTTCTTTTTCCTTACTCAGTGTCTTGATGTCATGATATGGTGTGTAAATATTGGGAGCTTTATTCAGTAATGCTAAGTCCTTTTTAATTTCGATAATGTAGAAAGTTGTACATCCTAACTTTCGCAGTCAGATCAGCGTTTTAACGAGCCTATAAGTGATGGCGACAGATATTAACCATGATCTCTTATGACTAACAGGCTTTTAATATATAACTCCAATATTTCAAGTGTTTAATGTGCTGTTATTTTCTACATATGACTATTTTAAGTTGCGATGATTTACCTCACATAAGTACTTGTCAGCCAACTGGAACAATTCACTGTTACACATCAAACAACTGAAATGAGTTAAGTGTTTGTGGAGATTTTTTGGCTTGCTTATGGTGTTATTGTTTAGATAGACAGACGGACAGAACCTTGCATACAAGTGCATTGGCTCAAGTTGCCACACTTCACAGTAGTTTACAAAGAACAGGTGAATAGAAAAGTGATATTTAAGAAGACGAAGTTATGTGAGAGAATAAACAATCTGAAGATAGCATTTATCACAAATATTCAAGCTTTAGAAGACGTCAAGGAGTGAGTAGCTTTGTGCTATTGTGACCGATTTTCAGCCGTATCTCACCAAGAGTCTTAAGCCAATAATTCCTATCGTCTCATAGACCCTAACCATGTAGGTAGTCTACATCTCTCCACATGGCTCAGATCAACAACCTGGGATTTCGTGGTCTGATCACTCTGAAACCTTTTTCCATCCTAATCCAACATTCATTAGCATAGTACGTAGAGATATGCAATGGCTTGGTATGCACAGCACACTTGCGAGCCAGCTCAGTCGTTGAAGATTCACAACCTTGTCAATCGATATGCCTCTTTTGCCTAGTTTATTTTTAGATAAGCGATAATATTCACCGCTATCGTTGTCTAGAGAACTGTGAGACACAGAAGGATCTTTAATTGTATGCTTAGTTTTTCATTCATTAAGTTGGTTGGCATACTGTATCTAACATTATCATTATTATTATTTGTCGCTTTGGTTCCTAGTGGAATATAGGGCTTCCGTTGCACGTCGCCATCTCACTTTGTTCTCTACAGTATTTCCAACCTGGCTCCACCACTGCTCACAAGCTTTCATTTCCTCCTCACACGATCTCCTCCATGTCACCGTCGCCTCGGACGCCCAACTCGTCGTTTCACCTTTGGACTCCACGGCCTGGCGCGTGATATCTCCGGATGGTCTTCTCACTGTATGTCCAATCCAATCCATCTCCACTTTATGATGCATGTTTGTTGGACAACGATAGTTTGTTGGTTGGTTCATTGCCAGTCCAGAGTTCCTTGTTGCTTATTCTTATTATTCTGACCATCTTCTCTTCAGTGTGGAGTGAGCGTAGGTGGAAGCTGTTGATGTGATATATATGTGTAGCTTGTTGGAAATGCTTTTCGTAATGCACCAAGTCTCTGAACCATATAGAAGCACTGACTTACTTGACTGACGACATAAGTGTTGATAATCGTGATGTTTTTCACGCTTTATGCTGAGTGGAGTGAAGTAGATCTCCACAGTGGTTTCAGGTTAATGAAGACCTGTCTTGGTGTCTTTCGATCCTGAGTTTGACATGGTCATCTCAGCCGCCGCCAGCTGTAGTTGAAACGATGGTTCCTGAGAAGGTAGGTGAAAGAGACAACTTCCTCTAGACTTCTCTTGTTGATGGTGGTTGGTGCTTGTTGTTGTTGTTGTTGTTGTTGGTTGGTTGGTTGGTTGGTTGGTTGGTTGGTTGGTTGGTTATCTTCATCACCTCTGTCTTGTCTACGTTCACGTGGAGTCCCATCTTCGCTGCCTCTCCTCTTCTGTCAACTTGTTAATTTTCGTGTATACGTGAGATAAGTCACTTTCGTGTATGACTGAATACAAACTTTTACATAATGTTGGCATATGTGTGTACATATACATACAGGGAAGATGTGCAGGAATTCGCATTCAAATAGAAACTATTCACATTTACACGGGACTGTTTTTAAAAAGTTTTTTACTAGTGAATTCTCTGTCATTGTTACTATTATTATTCTTAGAGCCTTTGCCATATTAGAAGGCATTCTACTCGAATCACATGATATTTAATGTTCTATAAGATAGGTACGTGACAAGTTTGTAGTAGTAAAACAAAATGTATCACCTTCACTATTGAAAATGTATTAATATTTCCAAATTTAATTCGAGCAATTTCGTAAGTAAAATATATCTATATATTTTTTAGTGTGCTGAAATGTGTGAACCTATTATGTATAGAACGCATAAACTGTGAGATATATATTAGTACAACATACCTACACCGGGCTGAAGTTTTGGCGAGTAGAAGAAGTGAACAGTTAATCGTTGTATATTTTTTCAATTTTGGAAACTGTTCAGTGCTCTCATCTGATTGGTTGATTCAAGAAAGTGATGACATCTATTTAAAGATGTTCAAAATTACTTCATTCATTTAAACTTTACGAAGATAAGAACATCAGAAGGAGATAAAAATCACCCAAAGAATGACAAGTAGTGGATGTAGAAGCAGAAGTAATAGTAGTATTGGGAGTGGCGGTGGTGCTAATCTGTCAACATTTCCAAATAATGCTAAACAACAAACTGTGGGAAGACCACCCAGTTCAATAAGTCTACTTGCTGATCAACTGAAATTGTCCAGTTTGAATGAAAATGATCCATGTATGACAATGCGGATGATGATGATGAAGATGGTGACAACAACAACAACACCACCAGTGTCAGCAACGATGACGACTCCTATGATGAATAGTGGACTGTATGATACTGCTTGTGAACATTATGGTTTGGAGACAATTAGTGAAGCACGAAATGCTTATTCAATGCCTACACACTCTATTATTGGCTCACAGTCTAAGCGTAGCCTTAATACTACTACTACTACTACTACTACTACTAATAATCATAATACCGATTGGAGGAGTGGTTCGAAAGATTATCATCATCACCATCATTCACGTACTGTACACTTTCATGATGTATTCACGCCCAGTTCTAGTGTTTGTTCATCATTACAGTCTACAATGTCGGAATTCGAAGATGGAAATGAAATGACTGTAAGTGTCGTTTCTTTTCCTTATATATTTTAATTTGCTTGAATTTCATTGGTAATCCTTCAGCTGATGACTTTTTAGCACTGAGCAGGTTCTTCTTTCTTTCAATACCAATTGCCATATGTAAAGTATTGAAATGGAAATTCACTCATCAACCAAATGTACATCTATGTAGTAAGAAATTAGCTACATTGATTGTGTAAGGGTCAGTGATACTATCTGATTATTCAAATGTTGGTAGGTGAAGCGGGGTTCGAACGCGTGATCTATCAATTAGAAGTGTCAATTAGGAGTGTCTAGACCAATAAACTATACCTCCATTGTGTTACTACTCTCTGCTTTGTCTGGATGATGTGTGCATTTGAAATTCGAACATAATGTAAGTGGAAAATGTATTCGTGTTACAAATGTCAATTTAGAGTTATACCACCGATCTCTTCATTTAGACAAGTACAAGAAAAATACCCTACATCACTTAAACTTGCTTCATAAATTGATAATGTATTTCTTTATTTTGTAATGCGATTAGAGGTAATCACTAGGATGCCCTGGGCTTGGGTTTCATGCTTGTTGGTGCTTGTTACCAAGATGCATCTACAACTTTGAGGTAATTAGTATCCACTCAGAGATTGGAACTCATATCACCCAGCGCCTCAGCGAGAGAGATAATCGCTAAGCTGTTCTTTAACTGCCTCAAGGGCAGTATTATTCATCGTCATGAAACAAGTATCGACTGTCAATTTCGTTACAGTTGATGCGTTAATTCTTTCCCTGTATTCCTACTTAGGTCTATTACCCTTTGATTTATGTTCAAATATCCTTTTTCATACGGTAAATACCTTCATCAGGTCATCAAATAGTCTATCGTTATCATATGCGTGTTTGAACCTAATATTGCTATTACTGATATGTTAGTTCTGTCACACTTGTAGAAGAATCAAATACCCATAGCCTTTTCAATATGCTTTAATTTGAGGTCCATACCTTTCAGCACTAGAATGGAGGATCATTACGCTTAGCTTATGTATTCATTCATTGATTTTTAAGCTGTTTCATTTATTGCAGTGATGATGTTGTTATAATTTCATGTGATTGTCTTAAACAATTGGTTCTGCCCATTCAGTCTGAACTCTGATCTTGCACGCGATTAATGTCGAATATATTTTCTCCAGTCTCGTATGCTCACACAATACGTCACCCAAGTCGGTCATCCCAACCGCTTAAAACAGAACACATAATCGGGTAGTTATTTCCTACATATTTCAAGCTATTCGATCCATCTATATCGACAACTATTTTACTGGACTATGACGCACCATAGTGTACAATCATGAAACAACTGATTGCAAATACAAGAAGGTGGGATAATGCACAACAATTGAATTTTACTCAACATGGAACCATTTCCAAGCTTCAAGTCATATATGAATGAATGAGGAGTCGATCGAAAGCTTTTGAACCGAGCTATGCAATAATGTTAAAAATTAAGTCATAAGTAAAATGAATTTTGAGATAGATAAGACAATACGACCAATGACACTTATCTGAGATTTACGTTTTCCACTTTCGTGATGATATGACATGTATAACTTTCTGAATATAATCTGAAGGAAGGTGGTAGTATAGTCTGATTTTGTTGGTTTGCAGTTTAGTTTGTTTCGCTTTTATCAACCACAAGTAACGACATCATAGAAAAAAAAGCATTATGCAGGTTATTCTCACTGTATTATTCGTCCTAATACTTAAATATCTTTTTAATACTGAAAATTAGAACTGATTATTGAGGAGCCTGTGTACAGAATTCTTTTCCCTAGTCTGCTTATAGTCCTTTCGTCTTGAAACTAGGTAATGTGATTAAATTATTTCGAAAAGTTCTTTTTTTATACCCCTTTTCAAAGTGTAAAATATCGAATTTCTTCTTTTGTTCCTATGATTCACCATCTTGAAAGAGGAATACAGAAGAGATCTTTTCATTAAAATAAACTGCTTGTTGACCGATAATGTTCAGTTAGCATCAGTGTACAAAGATAGATGTGGATAAAAAATAAAATAGCACCTAGAATAACCGCATATTGCTTGCAGTTGATACACTTCATATGAATACATCAAAGATGGTAACTCCAACACTTAAGAAGACGAAACATTGACAATAGTGGTACCAAAGGTTGTAAAACACCAGAAAACAGAAAGAAAAGAAAATTTGTGATATATGGGATTTTGATTTCGATCAAGCCAAGGCGTGACTATATCTTCATCATTGTGATAAATTGCAAACCATGTCTCATACAGTCTTCAACTGTTAGTTGTCGTTTCATGTACCCTCTAACCAGAAAGCTTCAAATTGTACAAGCAACTGTGACCAAAACGTATATCTTGTCACTGTCTGTTATGTAAAGGAGGTCAACCTGAACCCGATTTTAATGAAATCATAGCTTATTGGTTCAACCAGTTGATTTTCGAACACTGAGATACTAGTTCGACACCTGCTCCACATACCAAAGTCTTTGAAGTAAATAGTTAACACTCACACAATTAGTGTGACTCATTTCCACGAAGTGCAGCCTAGATAACACAGCAATAACTTCTTTCTCTGTGGTGCTGAACAACTGTGGTTCTCATCTCACAGTCAACATATGCGCTTACCTTAAGGTGTAGATACTTCCTATAGAGATGAATATCAACGGATCTGAAAGATGCTAGCTGTAAACAGTTGATACTGAGGTGTGTTTGTAGTTTTAGTTTTGAACATGTGCTTACTGAAGTGGTTCATTCATGTTGCACGTATATGATTACTCGCGGTCGATGTACGATTGGGTTGAAAAAAAGCTAAACAGCCATCAAATAACCTATAATTCTTTTGAAAACTGGATATTTCTTTACACTATTAGTTTGTCAACCATACCAGGTGTCAACTATTGTTTACTCTTAAAATATTTGACTTACTTCTCGTAATTAAAATTCTTATAGGCAGTGAAACTCTGCAGAAATGTGCATAGACTGTTGTAGGCAATCAGTTTGATAGATAGGTAGTTTTCGGTAATTTAATTTTATAGCCTATAGTTTCCTATTGTCGATTCATTTGCATCAAATTGATCAGATAATATTAACATATAAACTTCGGTTTGGATGCCTTGATTTCGTTGATAATTTCAGTTTTACAGTAATAATTGATAGTGGTAGATAACTGTGGAATGCAAGACATGCACGTTTCCTCCTACATAGGATTCATTGGTCGGATATCAAACGTATAGAGCGATAAGTGTTGGGTGTGATTTTTATTGGAAAACACTTTACTTACTGGTAAGGCAGGTATATTCAATTCGTGAGTCCTAAATATGATGGGACGTGTGCGTCTTAGTGTTGACTACTAGTCACCTATTCATTATTACCATTCATCAGTTTATACACCAAAACTCCTATCAAATTAACGCATACATATAATGCGAATGATAAATTTCGTTCGAACTGAAATGTTTGAATGGTAAACTACTAACCACCAGAGTTAATGGTTTTAGATTTGATTTCGAATGAATAGTAGCTGGGCCTCCCATGGTATACTATTGTGAATGAATCACTTTTCAAACATGATCTGAAAAACAGCATCTTTGAATAAAGTTACTATAACTACTATTAAGACTGTTCTCAATAAAACATGTAAACACACCCTTCTCTGCTTCCTAATATATCTTGTCGTTAGGGTTAAGTAACATTATTTAATAATGAATCCTTGGTAAGTAAGGTAGAAAATCGAACAAGCAATGTAACCTAGATGTCCTCTTTGACTTGTTTCAATTTAGGAGGACAGAAATAAAAATAGAATGAGTTTTATATGAAGTAGTAGATGACAGAATTGTTTTAATTCTGTTCTCCTTTTAGTATTGGTTAGGCTGAGGGTAGATCGAATAACTTCTTGAAAAAGTGGTAACCGATTATGTTGTACAACTTTTTCTTCTCATCTGCTTATATGTTTGTGTGTGTGTTCACTATGGTTGAGAGATATTATTTGATTATACTCAAGAGAGTTTGAGCTCTTTCATTTCATCAATATTTCTATTGGAATGACAAAACTAAGTGATGGAATGAGCAATACAGGGTTTTAAATAAAAGGCAGGGTTAAGGGGGGGTGTGTGTGGCTGGTTGAAGTGATCAATTTTCTCCATATTTTCTTCCTTGTTGGTATTTGCTCATTTAAATACTTGATATGGGTTTTGTTATCGATTTAATTAGTATAATATTCAAAAGTTGTGGTTGATGAAACGGAAAAATCCTTTTTTAACTTATTAATGTTTAGCTATATTTTTAATTCCCACGTGTTTTTGAAACATCTGTCTTGCATTCCTGGCTATCTTTTACCTTAAAATAGAATTTTAAGATACAGCACTAGTGTGTTGATATATTTTGCACCTGAAAAATGTAAGATGGTGCTTTTAAGACTCATTTGCATCAACTCATTTCAAGGATAAGAAATAAACTAGTGGAGTGTGTTTATCAATTCACTTTCTCTAGGAGTCGCATCAGCTCTAATGAGCTGGTTGCTGACGAAATCATAACTGGAGATACAAGATACTCATTTAGTATTTGACAACTTACACCGTATGCAACAAGGTGAAACACTAGATGTACTGCTCAAGGGTCTGCTATCTGCAATTGTGTGGCTGTTAGGAGATATGAAGAGGCTATAAGTTGTGGTCGTTAGTGTCTTCTTAATATTATTTACATGAAATTAGCATTTGAGCAGTGTTGAGGCTAGGTTTAGAGTACTGTTTGGGAAAGGTAAGTCAGTTAGTGAGGTTGTAAGCTTCATTCCCTTAATTGTGTGAACAGTCGCGGACTGAGGTGACCTGAACATGTGTTGCGCATACCGAACCACTGCCCGGTACGATGTCAGCTTAATACGAGTCAGATTGGAAAGCAGCTGAGGGTGGTCAAAACAAGACTTGGCATCAACTCATAAGATTTGCTGACTGTCAGCTTACCTCACATGGGTAGATGTGAGGAGCCTG